GCGACATTAATGACATAATTTTTAGTTGTCTTTATATTATATTGTATTTTTTTTCCTATAAAAATTGTTATATATAGGACTTATTAGTGTTCACTCTGGATGAAATTCCTGGCTAAGCCACTGATCATATCCATTTCCTCTTATAACAAAACCCTAATTATTCCCCTAATAAATTTGAATGTTTTAATTAAAATCAAAGAGAGAAAATGAGATACTATAACATATAGTGGGTGGGCTAGTGGCTACTCGCGGGAGTTCTGAATAGACCTAGAATAAGAGTTTGGGGCTTACGTAGCCCATATCCAACCATTAGCATATTTGCTAGACCATGGGTCACAAATATGGGTTTTTCAAAACCCGACAACACGAACCGACCCATTAATAGTCAGATGAAAGCGAAACACAAACAACAAAAGTACAAAACCCCAATCAGAGATTTGTTGTAATCGGGTGATATTTTTCTGTTCCTTTGGCGATTTTTTTAGGGTAAATTAGTTTTTAATTTTGTGAATTAGGGTTTCTTTAATCAATCAATTAATCGAAACTTCAAACATTTCTTTTTCAAATTTTGCAGATTAAAGAAGAGAGACGAGCGAGAACGAGCATGGCTATTGGGAATTTGATTTCTAGAGCTATATCTTATGCTGTTAATGAAGTTATTGTTCAAGGCCTCGCTAACAAGTATTCTTTCTCTTTTTCTTTCAATTCTTTGACGAAAGTTTTGATTTTTAGTATTATTTATTGATTCAAGCTTCTTAATCTGGTCGAAAGGATTGATTTTTATTCCTGTTCGATTCGTTCCAATGAAGCAATATATAAGTAATCTCAATTGTTTATTTATTTATTTTTTTGTCTATATCTATATGTCTTGAATGTGGAATTATGACAATTAGGGTTAGAACGGTTGAGATAAATTGGGTTTGTTTTTGCTTCAGTATAAGTTATTGTGGATGATTTCATGATTCCTAATTGATCTTTTCGCATGTAGCAATATAAAAACTTTGTTTTCTATTAGTGTCATAAGTGTCTCTTCTCTGTTTAGTTTTTGCTGGCTTTCGAGAACACTTGGGCAATTACATATCGTTGTGTTTGATTGATTTGGTTTACTAGTAATGAAAAATGCAACTTTTTTAAGATTCAAGTAATGGGTATTGATTAGTTTGAAATTTAAACAACAATGATGAGCCTTACAGACCTGTAATGATTTTTGCGGGTATGATCGCAATCTAAGAACATCTAAGGGGCTGAGTTGTTTTGAACTCCTTTTACCTCTTTTT